AAATTTGATGCCGGAAATGATCTTTTTTACATAGTTACGGGTCTTGATCCATGTGAGAGGGAATTTATTGATGTCATCCTCTATATTATGAGGAACACAGCGTTTCCGAGCATATGCGTACTCCTTTATCAGGTTCATTCACTTGAGATGAAGGAGTAAGTCACTTCTAAATACCATTCAAAGACTTGATGCTTCTTATTTTACTTAGCGCATTTTGTCTTCAATGGGAAAAAAAGCAGGTAGCAAAAGTACAGCAAGTCTTTTTGATCCCCAGTGTCGGGATCTGTCTTCAGCCTGTTTTTATCTTGTTTTACATGTTTTCAACTAGTTTTATATTAAATCTGTGATATTCTAGTTATTGTACTGTCCATCGATGAGAGGTTGTTATTAAGCGTACAGATATGTATTATTCATGTATAACTTCTCGACACGATATGGCTGAAATATTGCCGATGTGACGTTAAATATTAACTCACTCACTCACAACAATGAAGGGGATTCTTTATAAACATCCATGACCCCTAACAATGCAATAACAGCGATAATGATGTATTGTAGATTGTGTAAAAGAAACATTTTACATAGATAAGTGTTAAGAGCAACAAGAAAAGACAACTTGCTATCTACTACAGTCCGTTTGACTCCAAATGAGAACGATGAATTGCAAAATAACTCGAAATCCAAAAAAGTGTATGAAACATCAATACGGTACTTGACCATGAATATCCTTTTCCCAACAAAATCTGAATTTTGTTTAATATAAGACCCATGACGGATGAAGTTCTTTAAGAAACTATCATGTAATTTTGTATAGAAATGTGTACATGACACGTACCAAACCGTGGAAGGAACAGCGCAAGCACGGTCTGCACGTGCTACACAGTGACCGTGTTCATTCAATGACAAGATGCGCTACTCAGCAAATGTTAAACAGTTGATGTTGAATGTGTATGATTTCTTTAGAAGTGAAGCAGAAAGAGCAAAGCCTTTTTATGCAATTAATAAATTCTTGAAACGAGCTTCAAAAGCTCTTGGTATGTCCCCTCAGAAACTTAAAAATGTTGTTAGTCGACGAGATACAATTAGTCAGGCCAAGGAGGTAGGGAACATGTCAAAACCACGCAAGGTTGATACATTAGACAGTTTTCAGAGGGATCAAGTCAGACGTGCAATTGTTAAACTGCACTCAGAAAATAAGTACCTGTCCCTAAGAATTTTGAAGAAACACCTTGAAACTGACCATGATTTACGTGTTACAAAGTACAAACTATGGCAGGAAATAGGGCTGTGTTGTGTGAACGGTCTGACATTGTTCGTCTCCGAAATCATTACCTTCGTACCATCAAGCAGAAACGTGAAGAAGGATATGAGCCCGTCTTCTTAGATGAGACATGGGTAAATGCTTCACACACAGCTAGCAGTCAGTGGGTACCCAGTGGTGACTGTAAGGAGTCTGGTAGAAGGTTACCAATGGGAAAGGGTGAAAGACTCATAGTTCTCCATGCTGGTTCTGCTAGTCTGGATTCTCTCCCAGACTGTGACCTCGTCTTTAGAGCCAAGGCCAAAGACAACAGGGACTACCACACAGAAATGAACGGCAATGTATTTCTGGAGTGGGTGAAAGATAAATTAGTCCCTGCTTTGCCTACCAAGTCTCTCATTGTCATGGACAATGCACCGTATCATAGTGTGCAGGATCCAGAAAGCAAGACTCCAACCTCTAATAACCGTAAAGGAGACATGGTTACTTGGCTGCAACGGAGGAACTTTACCTTTCCTTCTCGAGCGACGAAACCACAGCTCTATGAAATCATCAAAACTATGAAACCTGACCCCGTGTATAAAGTTGACAGTTACATCAAGGGTCAGGGTCACGCTGTCTTACGACTGCCACCTTATCACTGCGACCTGAATCCAATCGAGTTGGTATGGGGCATCGTCAAGGGTGACGTTGGACGATCGAACACGTTCAAATAACGAGACGTTGAACAACTCGTAAAGGAATCCCTTGGTCGGGTAACAGTAGAAACATGGAGGCGTTGTGTGGCCACAGTCGTTGACGAGATAGAGCCACGTTATTGGTCACGAGATGGACTACGACCAGCAACAGTCCAACCTATAATAGAGGCAGTCGGTTCAGGCACAAGCAGTTCCGACGACGAGATCTATGGCATGAGCGAGTCAGATTGTGACTGAAATTATCATGAGACGGCCCCTCTAACGCTCTGTCATTTCCCCTACCACAGAACGTGCAGTGCATGCGCTGTGCCTTCCACGGTTTGTCCCCCCTACGTGTCATGTACACATTTCTATACAAAATTACATGATAGTTTCTTAAAGAACTTCATCCGTCATTGGTCTTAAAATAAACAAAATTCAGATTTTGTTGGGTACAGGGTATTCATGGTCAAGTACAGTATTGATGTTTCATACACTTTTCTGGATTTCGAGTTATTTTGCAATTCATCGTTCTCATTTGGAGTCAAACGGACTGTAAGAGAAAATGTCATTGTCTGATATCTATGGCCCAGTCGTCTAAGGCGCCACAATTCGCTGTGCAGAGTTGCGTTCCTGGGGCACGCCAGAAACCTATGATTGTGGGTTCGAATCCCGGTTCGCCCCGATTATGTTTCTAGGTTTGTAAACACCATACCCGTGCTCGCGGGTTTCACCGAAGTGCTAAACGTCTTAGACATGCATCACTTCGGGCTTTCCTCCCACATTAAGCTGACACGCCGCGATGTAACTTGGATAGTGTTAAAAGCGGTGTTAAACCTAACTCAATCACTCACTCTAATATCTGACGGAATTGATGTAATAAACAATCATCTTAACTGTATTTACGTCAAAGCATATTCTACACATTACTGTAGGCCTTCTTTTGTGTGGCCTTCAGGACAGACACTTATCACAATGAAATAAGATCATCTTTTTGCACAGTTGACACCAATTGCGACATAAGCAAACGGAGATAATAACTGATACATTTTGCAAAGTGGGTCTTTAAAATCAGTAATTTTAACAACAAATCTTCTGACACATATTTTACGTTCAGTACATTCATATATTTACTTATAAACATCCCCTCAAGAACGATATTCGTCAGCCTTCAAGAGATTGCATTGGTTGTAGAGTGTTCATGTCAAACGTCGCTCGTTGGCGCCACTGAACAGAAGGTTGAAGTGATGTCCGTAATTTCTGAATATAAGTATTTCTTCATGAAATTATATATACATAAACTTGAATATAATAGACATTTCTTATTCATAGGCATACATGTACAATAAGGATAAAACACAATCCTCAGTTATTGTATTAATTCTAGATGTTTCCAACATGGTATTTAACAAAATCAATCCATTAGTAAGACTTATTAGTGAGTGAATATTATTAATGAATAAATGTCTTTATATACCTCCTTTAGCGTAGAACCAGGCGACTGGTACAGGGTCCAGATGAAAACTATGGGCAGTTGTATTATGGAAATGCTTGATATCAGCCATCCGACTCCTGTTGCCCAGGTAGGGTAGATGTAGTCTCCATACTTAGGGGGCCGGTAGGAGTGAATGGAGTAGCAGAAGATGGCCTGTTAAAAGCGAATATAACGTGCTGTTGATAGTTTGCTCAGTGCCCTTGGTCTACCATTATTATGCTGAAAGAGAACATCCTCAAAGAAATTGACATAAAATGTCTTTGTATTCAATTATCTTTAGAAGTCAAAATGGCACTCATTTAATGTAAAATATATATTCCTCAGTAGTAATTGTTTTGATGGTAACAATTTTTCATAGCCTTACCAATAACAAAAGCGGGCACACATATTTGATAGACAGCATCATGGCTCGGGGGACCTTCTTTCCCCACATGGCACTGATATCTCGATTCAGTCTCTCTAAACCTAAGCACAAGCAACCAGATATGACATAAGCATTTGGTCTAAGCTGATAAAATATTAGGCATCTTTAAGGGGTATACAATATATTCTTCAAGTCGCAATTTACAGATGGAATAAAGGTCAAGACAGTATACATTGCCAACATTTATGAATAAGCAAGAGATAATAGATACTGTTGTTCAAACCCTTCTTAACTAAATTTGGAATATATTAGTTGATCATCCTATTTTTTAATAAGTTATCTGGTTACCTATTAGGAAAGGGCCATAAATGAGGTCATTTTTGTACGTCTAGAGCAGATGTCACTCTGAGGTCATGTAGGTTCCCCAATTGCATCCTAATTTGCGTTATCTAGCCTAGACTGCCTCAGTGATATAATACAAATCCTTTAGATCAATATTGAATTCAAAAGGTTCACATATGTTTTCTTGAGGCATGTGGTTGATCAACGTTTAGCTAGCATTAAGCCAATATTAGCAAATTTATCTCATTATTTGGATCAGTGGAAAAAACCAAACACGTTCTTACCATAACACCAACTAACAACAAAGCATTCCAGCATGGCAAATACTGCTACGGCAGGGAAGTAGGTATACCAGTCCACCAGAGTCACAATGTAAATTCCACCCTTAGAATCAAACATTCTTGTTTACATTGCCGTCAAAATAGGGCAGACAATACATTCTATGGTATGTACTGAAGCCACGATACGACACGCAGCATTTTGATACTTTATTCACGATAAGTTATGTACCTCAATTCTAGAGTACATGTGAGTTGATACATTCTAATTTTGATACACCAGTAACATGATCAGACTGAGTTCTTATTTTGTATACAAAAACCCAAAAGAACATGTCTCAGTATGCTTGAAAAGTACAAATAATTAAGCCGATTATGAAGAAATAATACATATTAATACAGAACAAAGCGTATGTGTCTTGTTAGATCTTTTCAACTTAGGACAAGCAAAGGTTCCTAGGGTCCAAGTCCAGATCGGAATCCCCACTGGAAAAGCTAGATAAGATTAGAACACTTTGTTAACATTTTTTATATCCAATGATCGATGGATCTTTTGGTGCAAATGGTTCCACTTGTTCTATACCTGTGTGGTGCAGGGAAGGGCAAAGAGGAAGTTGCTCAACAGGATTACACAAATGACAACCCATCGTCGCTTAGCTAGTCCACGAAATACGTCTTCAACGGCTGCAATCATTATCTCCAACCCTGGTAACTGTGAAGCGAACGGAATGGAAAACGTGTACAAGGTCAGTCTCAAATTCGTTCTTGGTCTTTTCATTCAAATGAAATGATTGTTATTATATCACAGATGCCCTAGTTCACTACATCCAAATAAGTACCAGCTTATGACGACTCTTTCATTTTTTAGACTTACTCGGCATTACTTGGTATCCATAGAATGTAGCGTTTTTCTTAGTTGGTTGTCTGAATTATACCATTTTCAATTTTCAGTTTTTTCCAAACTCAGTAACATGAGTTTTCCATTTTTAATCTCCCACTCCAATCTTGGTCAAAATATGTTCAAAACATTTGCTGCTGTCGCCCAACCACAGTGTAAGACAGTAAGCTATAAGCAACCTTATAATATAATTTACCATTGAGTCCACTTCAAGGGTCATCAATGCAAGGAAGGTCATTGCGGACCAAACGTGTGGCAGGGGGAGATACGCCATGACTTCGGGGTAGACAATAAAGGCTAGGTTGAAGCCTGAAATAAATTTATCCTAAAAGTTACAATGTACTAAAAAAATGAAACAGATGATAACACCACGTGAATTAGCACGTGAATGAATGTCGATATGAATGTACTCGTCCCTGGGAAACAATCTGTTCCTGTATTGTAAAATTCCTCCCTTGCATCGTTCATTTTCAAAAGACTCCGCCCGCCATTGCTCAGTCGCTGTGTTCGTCCACTTCCGAGTTTGCTTGATGGATCGCATGGCAAGGTCACTCTTTGAAACGTTCGTAAAATGTTACGCGTCGTTTATTGTAGGTGACTGTGAATGGCGTTTATGTCAAATGCCTATCATATGACATCAGTAAAACTGCGGTGTGCTGCTTTCTCTTCCTCCTTTTTATCTCCATCCATCAATGGGTGATTAGGGATGTTAAAGAAGTCTATTAGAAATTCGACTAAAAGACATAGAAATTGAAACCTCGAAATTGTAACGACAAAACCCCTTCTTTAATCTTCAGAAAGTTTAGTGTTCTGCTTTAGTTGTAAAACGCCAAGAACAAATTACTGCGTGATTGAGTCTGGAGATAAAAAATAGAAACAGATATGAGCCTGTGAATGAAATAACCCCCTCCCCATCAATCATCAGACTGGCATCAGTCCGGACAAGCACAAGCAGCAACACACACACACGTACATGCACGTCGCTATGTCATTGCAATAGTCTTGCACACGACGTTAAACCCCATTTCACCTCAAATGGGGGTCCACTACTTCTCTTTCACAATATGATCCAGTGACAATAGGGTTTTGAGGATTGAAAGTGTTGTAAAAATGTGTTATTGTTGGATGATTGTATTGTAAGTCGGTGATGATAAAAAACATTAGAATATGGAGGTGCAGAGACGAAACACATCTAACGAATTTAAAATTACCTGATGATTCGAAAGCTTCGACTGGAACCCCACGTAGGTAAGCAACATGTCCAATAATAGCAAAGAAGGCAAAACCAACAAAGATGAGGCAAAGCATATCGGCGATGCTAACAATCAGAACATCCCTTAAACAGAAAGTATTACATTCGGTGTAGCATAACTAAACTATTGACTATGCAATAATAAATACTTCAGTGCCTGCAATGTTTTGGGCTTTTGTTGTGTTATTTCATTTTCATGACGAGTGTTTCCATCAACAAGAAAATTATAAATAAAAAAGAGACTTCAGCGAATTCGGAGGATGAAATGCATAATAGAAATGCCACATTTTTTAACTACCAACGGTTGCATTGCTCGCATTTATTTCTTATTTGCATTGATTGCTAACAATCAGGACATCCCTGAAACAGAAATCATTACATTGTTTTTTGTTTTGTTTGTTTGTTTAACGCCTCACTCAGAAATATTCCAGCTGTATGACAACGAATTGTAAATAATGGAGTCTGGACAAGACAATCATGAGCATTGATCCACGCACTTGGGATACGATGATATGCATCAACCAAATCAGCAAGCCTGGCCACCCAATCCCGTTAGTCGCTTTTTACGACAAGCACACTCGCCTCTTATGACAAGCAAAGGTTGGTGAAAACCTATCCTAACACGGATTTTCACGGGTTTAGGTGCCATCAAACTAATACTAGGGCTGCTGAGGTCATCAGATCCTCTTAGAGATCTATCATCTCTGAAGCTATATAGCTGAATAAAGCAAATCACTTTGAGTGTCAAGCAAACCCTGCACGATGGCATGACAGAAATTAGTATTAAAAAGGCTTTTATTTACCATGTTTTGTACCTACATAACTAAAATAGCTGTTTGTTACTTTGTTGCGTATTTACATTGTACATGCCTAAAACAGTTGTATGTAACTTTACTGTGTATTTACATACTGAAAACAGTCGTTTGTAACTTTGTTGTGTATTTACATACCTAAAATAGCTGTTTGTAATTTTGCTGTGTATTGCATACTAAAAACAGTCGTTTGTAACTTTGTTGTGTATTTACATACCTAAAATAGCTGTGTGTAATTTTGCTGAGTATTTTACATACTGAAAGCAATCGTTTGTAACTTTGTTGTGTATTTACATACCTAAAATAGCTGTTTGTTATTTTGCTGTGTATTTACATACTGAAAACAGTCGTTTGTAACTTTGTTGTGTATTTACATACCTAAAACAGTTGTTGGTAATTTTGTTGTGTCCAGCCATAGTAATGATGTTTCCCATGGCTATGTTTAAAGAGTACAGTGCCAGACTACATGCCTCTATCCACATCTACACAAAAAAGCAAGTTGCAGGGCATGTGAGTCAGTCTCAGTTTCAATCATTTATACCACTCCATAAAACATGATTACAACTTAGCAAAAGTTCTATCGCACAAAACAAGCTAGTCATTTTATGAAAACATTAAATCAAAACAAAAATTGAAAGTGAATGAGTTCAATTTGCATTGCTTCATATTCGTCGTGAACAAGGATTTGCGTTTGTGGTGACATATCAGCTCATAAACTTACTCCTGGTTCCAAAAGTTTCTCAAATTTAGGATACACATAGAAGTAAATTCCATCTGCAGAACCCGGAAGCAGACATCCCTGGATGAGGAAGACCAAAAGGAGGAGGATGGGAACGCCCACTGTGACGTACACGACCTGTACAAAATGAGGATTTGTCCAACCATGTATAATGCTTCATTATTATGTTCACATAACAATAATCAATGCCAATTGTAAACATAAGGTCTAAGTCAATCTGGTTTCAGAGCAAAGTTTAGTTAGAATTATATCATTTGAGGGTATCCCTTTCACAGGAGTCCGAACAAAGTGGGCCTAACGAAGTGAAGACCATGTGCCATGACTTCCTGCGATAACTACACGTATATAAACTGCACCGATACTGGTTACTTGCCTTTCCTGATACTCTGATCCCTTGAAAGATGAATAAGAACATGATCACACAGGTAACTCCCATTAACCCAACTAGGGGCCAGCGGGTACCACCAAGATGTTCCAGGCCATCAGTCATCTGTAACGCCTGGAATCTGGGAAGGAGAAACATCACTGGAGATGAATTGCCGGGAAAAAGAAAGCCAAAACCTTATTTGATTTGACCTAAACATTACGAACGGTATCACTAGGACGTAAGCAGTTGTCAAAGCTCTCAAACGTAAGGTGAAAGAACACAATTAAGATACCCGTATCAAATACATCACCGTTGAAAATGTGTTTCCTTTTCAACCAGCATCAAACATGGGTGTATACTTTCTTTGACCCTGCAGATTATGTTCTACACCCTTTTAAACTACAGTAATGTGTTTTAACTCACACCCTCAAATTGAAAATGGTATGTTTTAAAAGTACTTAAACGTAAACATATAGCACACAAAGACAATAAACCAGATGCAACCAGTTTGGGACAGGATTTGAAATCACAGATATGATGTTTGTTTGTTTAATACTACACTCAGCAATATTCCAGCTATATGACGGCGGTCTGTAAATAATCGAGTCTGAACCAGACAATCAGTGATTGACATCATGAGCCTCGATCCACACAATTGGGATACGATGCCATGCGTCAACCAAATCAGCGAGTCTGACCACCCAATCCCGTTAATCGCCTCTTACGACAAGCATAGTCGCTTTTACGGCAAGCATTGGTTGCTAAAGACCTATATTCTACCCCGATCTTCACAGGTACACACATATGATACGCAACATATGCGCAACTCTTGAATCGTAATGAACAAAATCAGACAAATTCAGTAATTTCTTTCATATTCAAGATGAATTTATTCAGTTCTTCAGTTTGTGCTTCAGTGCAAATCACACCAGAAGGTGCAATGCCGATCACTATTAATCATAGTTTTCACAACCCAATGTGTATTGACACGTGAGGCGACAAACGGGATTGGGTGATCCGGCTCGCTGACTTGGTTGATTCATGTCATCGTATCCCAACTGAGTGGATTGATGGATTTGCGTTAAACAACAAACAAACCAAACCAAACCCTATTTGTATAACGTCATTCATAATTATGGAAAACGCACGCTCATACACCCATAGTTCTGGCTTTATATAAATTCCGATGATGAAACGTTGATGTTTATGATAATAACAGTTACAGCAAAATTTGAAACCACCATGAACATACCTCCAAAACTCTTCTGCAGCAGTCACACCCGGGACTGTTTCAGTGACATTGGTGAAGTTACTGTGACTGAGGCCAGTAACATTAGCTACTGTACTGTTAAAGGTGCTTCCGTTGCTATTTGCTATACATGCAGGGGTGTTCCAGGAGTTGTCACAGCTGGCCCAGGGAAGCTTGCCGAGGAACGAGTGGTAGAAGTAATACATAAACCAGGCGAATATGGCCATGTAGTAGGTGACATACAGCCACATCACCAAAGCAATCCCAAAACCAATACCTGCAAAACGTGAGAGTCACTTAAGTTTGTGTTTACCATATATTTTATTTCCATATTTTTATATTTCATGACCTAAACAACACCATACTAATTTGGTAAATCGATTGGGTCTGTCATTAGAATTCAGCCACATAAAGTGAACATTCGCCTGTTTTTTTGTTTAACACAACACTCAACAATATTCCAGCTATATGACGGCGGTAATATACCATCACGCCACAATACCGTTTTACCTAATATGCGAAATTGTGTTGCAGGAAACACCAGAGAAACAGAGGTTAGCATGTCAACATTGTTTCAAGGTTTATCGAGAGCGTGTAAGCTCCTTCCAGTGGTCGTTAATCTCTACACGCTTGGAGTGAGTGAGTGAGTGAGTTGGGTTTAACGCCGCTTTTAACAATATTCCAGTTATATCGCGGCGTGTCAGCTTAATGTGGGAGGAAAGCCCGAAGTAATGCAGGTCTCAGACGTTTACCACTTCGGTGAAACCCACGAGCACGGGTATGGTGCTGACAAACCTAGAAACATAATCGGGGTGAACCGGGATTCGAACCCACAATCATAGGTTTCTGGCGTGTCCAGGGGACGCAACTCTGCACAGCGAATCGCGGCGCCTGAGACGACTGGTCCACGACAACTCAAGAAGCATTACGTGCCAGACATTGAAATTTAAGACGAGGTCCAGATCGGAAAAGGTCGTGACAGAACTTTGAGTTGGGTCAGTGTCACATTAGATGCCATTCTTAAAGTAAGTTTGACATTTTCATTAAATGCCCTTTTCTGCAGATACCTTATGAATGTTGGTGGCTATATGCAATTCAAATCCATGACAAATGATTAAAATCTTATTACAGTAAACTACTGTTGTAATGAACTCAAGGGGGCACGGGTGGCCCAGTCGCCTAAGGCGCCGCGATACGCTGTGCAGAGTTGCGTCCCTTTGGCACGCCAGAAACCTATGATTGTGGGTTCGAATCCCGGTTCGCCCCGATTATGTTTCCAGGTTTGTCAGCACCATACCCGTCCTCGTGGTTTTCACCAAAGTGGTAAACGTCCGAGACCTGCATTACTTAGGGCTTTCCTCACACATTAAGCTGACACGCCGCAATATAACTGGAATACTGTTAAAAGCGGCGTTAAACCCAACTCACTCACTCACTCACTCACTGTAATGAACTCAAAGAGACCGCTAAATTTAGTTCGTAGTTCGTTATAAACATATTTTCAACGTATATACAGGAAATGGCCATGACCAAAAAGATCAGCTTGTTGTATCCGTCAGTTCGTTATAAGCGTGTTCGTTATAAACGTAGTTTACTGTATATCAGTGGTAAGTCATTGTGACCTACTTTCAATGAGTAGCGTATGGTCCTATTCCGTTGCATTCAACCAAGGGACAGCATATATGGTTTATGGGCTATGTAGCCCTTGAAGGTCAAATTAACTCTCAAATCCCGCCATGCCCGTACTCGTTGGTTTCACCGACGTGGTAAACGCAAGAGACCTGCATCAATTCGAGCTCCCCTACCACATTATAGCTGACACGCCGTGTTATAATTGAAGCCTGCTCAAAGCGGCGTTACACTCAACTCACTCACTCAAGTCCATCCGCTCAATATTGTTAAAACCGTGAAAATCCGGGTTCGAATAGGTCTTCGGCAACCCATGCTTGCCGTAAATGGCGACTAACGGGATCGTGTGGTCAGGCTCGTTGATGTGGTTGGTGCATGTCATCGTATCCCAGTCGCATGGATCGATGCTTATGCTGTCAATCACTGGATTGTATGGTCCAGACTCGATTATTTACAGACCGACGCCATATATGTATCTGACATTTAAGTTTCCGTTTACCTTTAAATGGTGGACATAAGTTCCAAACGTTGATAGGTCCACTTTGAGAGAGCTGACCAATCACCATTTCCAAGAACACACAGGGAATAGCGCCGATGAAAGTGAAGACAATATACGGTATCAGGAATGCTCCTGAAAAGAAAATCGTCTTATTTCAGATTGCACACTTATGACAATCATATCTGACAAGAAAGAAAAACACTAATATCAGAATGATTTTCTAAACTATAAACGTATTGTTAATACGACTGTGTGTTTCATTAACGTATGTCGCTTTCTGAAAAATGAGCTTACATTTATGTCTACTTTTTTAAACAAATAGACCTCCATCGCTTTGTCCTCAACATGTGGTATTAACCTAACTATTGTACTGTCCTTTATCGACAGATAATTCAAAAGACTATTTGTTCTCATTGCCTTATGGCTGGAATATTACCGATGTTCACTCACTCTCATTCCTTCCCTCGCACTCGATCAAGGTTTGTTTGTTTGTTTGTTGTTTAACGCCGCACTCAGCAATATTCCAGCTACATGACGGAGGCCTGTACATAATTGGGTCTGGACCAGACAATCCAGTGGTTGACACCATGAGCATCGATCTACGCAATTGGGATCGATGACATGCATCAACCAAGTCAGCAAGCCTGTACCCGATCCCTTCAGTCGCCTCTTACGACAAGCATGTCGCCTTTTACGGCAAGCATGGGTAGCTTAAGACCTATTCTAACCCGAGGTGGAAGTCTATCGAAAATACTTAAGAATTGACTCAAATGAACTCACACAAAGTGAAAGTCAATTCTAATAATGTTTTATATCACTATGTCGTACCTCGAGGGATGTATTACACAATTTTATTTAGAACGTGTAATGCGGAATATAATAGTTCACCAAAAGGAGGGCGTATTTCTGCTCCACATGCTCCACAGAAACATATCTTGTAGTTTGGTTGCAACCACAAACATATCCCCAGATGAACAAGGTCTCTTTAGGGCTGCCTCAGTAAGTCAATCATAGTTACAGCGCGCTATAATAAATATTCATCTAATACGGGACGTCAAAATGACAGCCACGATAAATGTGACGGAGAGGTTTCCGAAGTTTTTCATGAACCTGTGGCGATTACACAGCGATGACGTGTTCGTCATCATTGATCAATTGGCCTATCATTGAAAGGTGATTATGAATATTTGCCAAATAGATACTAAAGTACATTTATAGATTGCTGTGGACTGTGGCTTGTTAGTCTAGGCATAGGCCTTTTTTGGATTTGCCTTACTTTCTTTTGTTCACTGGGATGGGTCGTAACGCGGAAATATTTGAACGGGAATTCACTCTCTGACGTATCTAAATGTATGTTAAGTTCGAGATTAAAGGGCCTAAATGATAAAAAAAATTCACGCTGCTGTGTTTCGTCGTCAGCCGCCTCTTACGACAAGCATTGTCGCCTTTTACGGCAAGCATGGGTTACTGAAGACCTTTTCTACCCCGGATCTTCACGGGTCGCCACACTGAACTGATCATTCTGAACACAATATGGACATACACTGGTTATTAAATAGTCCAGCAATATATCGACAGGATATGTATACATGAAGGTGCACAAGATTACAGGGTTCACATTGTACTCATATGGGACATCAAAACGAATGTTAGCGTTAATTACCACGCAACACATTCACGAAAGCATTACTTGAATGCGCTGTTTAATATCTGGAGAAAAACACAAAGATGCACTGACTTAGATCTACTGACGACAGTTGATGTATACAACACATTAACTACAAACTAATACAATTAGCTGTCTTACTGACCGTCTGTCTGATTGTAATAACCTGTTCAGTACGTGCTAAACGTGTATAAATGTACACGTTCTAGTGTTATATCACAATGACAATGAGCATATGTTACCCACAGTGAGTGAGTGAAGTAAAATTTAAAGTCACATTGGCAATATTTCAGCCATATCGTAACTATCAAGGGTCAAACATAATAAATAATTGGGACTTATATAAAAACCTGCCAACGAAGGACAGTAAAATAACTAGACTTATCACAGAAATATATTTAAACTAGTATGTAATCATAAAGTGATGTAGAAGGTAGATCACCATACTAGGGACCATGGGGACTTTAGCTGCATGGACACCAGCCTGATTTACATCTTCCCGTCAGGTGTTGGCTATTATTGACAAATTTAGCCAAATTAAAAGAACATATATTCTACGATTAAAGGAGAAGTAGTCAGGAATATTCTTTGGATGGCATGGACTTACGATATCCTCCCCGGGGAACAATAATTGTACACTACGTCAACCCCCTTCGAGAATACAGCCAGTAACAAACTCAGATATAAATTCATTCTATCAATTTTAAAATTTAGTTTTGTACAAAACATCATCGAAATTTATTCTACCATGAATTTGGAATTTACTAGATTCTGATTGGTCAATCAGAGGCTATTAAATCACAATAAACCCCCTCTGATTGAAACAGCTGGTTTAACGGCCTCTTTACCGCGTAAGGATATGCATGTGCACTTTGTGCTTGCCCATAAACATGGCGGAGCTCACGAATTCCGTGTCAGTGGGAACTTTTGATATAGGAAGTTTTGCTGATGTCTATCTCGACCCTGCAAATGAATGGAGTGACGATGATTTTGACATTATACTCTCCAATCTGGACAATTCTGGTGACTACAATAACACAAACATCTTCAGAAATATGTTTTGAAAATAATCAGTTGAACAAACACGTAAACGACATGTGTCGTCTGCTGCTCAATCTATCATATTATGATGTAAACACATCCCCCCCCCCCTAAAAAAACAAATTATGATGAAATTGTGAAAGATGGCATTGTCTTTACTGACAGACGTGAAGGACACGCCGCCGAAAAGGCAAAAGCTTGCCGCCGAGCGCCCCCCTAATGAAGAAGTACCCGAATGCTCGGACAAAATCAGCCTAGGTAATATTTAATTTGTCAAAATAAAAAGACATTTACATACATTTTGGGGAAAATGATTTGAAATAAAATCGCTTTGCTAGACATCAGGACACCTGATTATATTCATGTCAATAAGAATATTTATTGACAGCATTATTAGAGCAGGGATATATTACATGTATTTATCACATATTACATAACCTGCCCATGTATGGATTCACAGTGTAGCATCATAGTATACATAGTGTGTATGGAGACAATTGCCATGACCTGCAACGTGTTGGCGGCGTCACAGTCCCAAAAAACTCCTAATTAGTGCCATAAACAATAAAATTATTCAGATAATTCGCGAATTATTTGCAACTTATCCGCGGATTATTCGCAATTTTACTGCAGAAGACGACAACAAACTTCTGCGTTGTAGTGTAACATGCAAACTAATCAAACTGATACAGGGCTAAACAGGAAATCGGTTTAATTGAGTATCTTGTGGAGAACACAATTTCTTACATACTGATTATTGTGATATTAAGGTTTGAATTTTAAGAAAAGAGTCTGATTGAGTTATAGTTGATTTAATTTAATTGATAATAATTGATTGCCTAACTATATCTTAATATAGTTCTCCTTGACACGACGGCACCTAATATGATAATACTATTACCCATTATTATAAGAACACTTAACTCTGTACATACTGATGCCTCTGATTAATGGGTTTATGGGTTTTATATAGTGTCCAAACATTCTTGAAATTTGAAATGCTAGGGCGCCGCTATTGACTGCATGTAAGCACGTTACGGTCCTTAGTCTTGCAACCGCTGTTCATAGGTTGGAATCTCAAAGAAGAGAAAAAACGCATGTATATGCGGTTGTTCATATTTTTAGTACAAGGTGCATATTTTGTTATGGGTGTTTTTAACCGAGCATCATGATTAATTTGCTTAACGCCGCACTCAGCAATATTCCAACTTTATGACGTCGGTCTGTAAATAATCTGGACCAGACAATCCAGTGATTGACAGGATGAGCATCGATCCACGCAATTGGGATCGATGACATGTATCAACCAAGTCAGCGAGCCTGACCACCCGATCCCGTTAGTCGCCTTTTACGGCAAGTATGGGTTGCTGAAGACCTATTCTACCCCGGAATCTTCACGGGTCTTGATTAATAGGCCGATGGCACCTGGCCCAGATATCAAAAGGTGGGTTATGAAATGACTATACCACAGAATGGATAACAACATATAGGGAAAATCTAAGCACAGTTTTTATAACCCACATTACCAAATATGAAAAACAAAACTGATCTTTTACAAAAACGTAAAGTATTAATTACTCCAAGACCCACTCAATACCAAAAACAAGTAGGTGAGGTGAGGTGAAATGGGGTTTAACGTCGCGTCCAAGATAATTGCACTTATACGTGTGTGTGTGTGTGTGTGTGTGTGTGTGTGTGTGTTTGTGTGTGTGTATGTGCGCTTGTACTAGTCTGGACTGATGCCGATTTATAGGGCTAGCTCACTGAGATACCATGTCGCAGTTTAACATGAATACCCCACTCAGACACAGTATACTGACTCCGAGCCGACCAGTCCTTGTTTTAGCCCCTTAATGCCGAGCGCCAGACAGGGTAACAACAAGTACCATCTTTTAACGTCTTTTGGTATGACGCGGCCGGGGATCGGACCTTCCGCTCTACGGGCGGACTCTCTACCACTAGACCACGGAGGTGGTCCAAAAACAAGTAAATAGAAAGAGACATCAACGTCTGACCGATATAAATGTGGTTGTCTGCACTAACGCAGACATAGTTATGCCAAAATTAACGCGTTTCTTTAACCTTGAATACATAGATGTTTATAATATAAAGTATGGAACATCTTTATATAATAACTGTACATGTATAAGCGACGGATTTTAGGAATAGGTCGAAAATTTATTTAATTCTTTTTAGAAAGAATGTTTAAATATACTACACACAAAAATTATGGGAACACCCCTAAATTTCATAGCCATGTATAAAACTTAACGTGGCTTGGTCATTTATGAACTTCAGTAAATGCAACTTTTTGTGTGCACTGAGGGCACTTTAAATGACGTGTTGAGTCATGCATTTTTGCAAGTGCTTCATTTTTTGAAGAATTTGGTCAAATTGATTAAATGCTTAAACAGGAAAAAACTTGGGTGCAGAAAGACTCCCTCGCCATGTCAGATTAAAACGCCAAAACACAACAACCTAGTGCACGTGAAAGTCAGAATTCCCATGCAGTTGGTGACAACTTTTCTTTATAAAGAAGCTTCAGACACTGTGAAGTTACACATTTCCTTAAACATGCCCAAGCGAAGACCGTTAAGCATTCACGACAGGATTAGGGCCATAGCGTGGCTACAAGATGGTGCATCCATAAGGAATGTTGCCCGTCGTCTTCAAGTGTCACCGCCTGTCATTCACCGAGTGAGGGAACGGTTCCAGACAACAGGGAGAGTGCAGGACAGACCGCGTTCTGGTAGACCCAGAGTAACATCCAGGGAAGATGACCGATACGTTGTGCTGCAAGCCCTTCGGAACCGGTTCACAACAGCCAGTGCTTTGAGACTGCAACTCCGACAAGCAACACACACCAACGTAAGCGTATCGACCATCAGGAACCGCCCCAATGCTGCTCATTTAAGGTCACGTCGTCCAGCTGTACGTCCTCATCTTCGTCCTCATCACCGAGCTGCAAGACTTGCCTGGGCAAGGGCACATTAGAGATGGGATAATCAACAATGGTCAAGTGTTCTCGTCACTGACGAGTCCCGCTTCTTTCTTGAGCATAATGATGGAAGGGTAAGGGTTATGAGACGTCCTGGAGAACGTTATGATGATGCCACTGTACGAGAAAGAAACAGGTTTGGCGGTGGCTCTGTGATGGTATGGGGAGGCTTCAGTTTGCATCACCGAACACCTCTCTATCTTGTTCAAGGCAATTTGAATGGAGTGAGGTATCGTGACGAGAATTTGCGCCCTCTTGTCCTACCACAGTTAATCATTATTGGTCCAGGAGCAATCCTGCAAGATGATAATGCCAGACAACATCGGGCTAGAGTCGTTAGAGACTGCAACAGAACAATGTGACTGTGATGCAGTGGCCAGCATATTCACCGAATTTTGCTCCAATTGAGCATCTTTGGGGTATCCTGGGACGACGTGTCAGGGACAATCATGGAGTCGCACCAGCTCTTCAGGTTCTGGTTCAGTGGCTCCAAATGGAATGGCAGGCGATTCCACAGGCTACCCTTCGCACCCTTGCAAGATCCATGAGGCGAAGATGCACCGAATGCATCAAACAACGTGGAGGACACACTCGCTATTGACATTGTGATTTCCTTTTTTGACCCCAAATTTCTTATTCGACTTGTTCGTGTGTGCTTTTCAATGACAGCTACCTGTAAATGTTTTAGTTTTGAAGCTTGATAATCTACTAATGCACAATTGTAATGATACGATCACATGTCATTAAATGTTCCTTTTTATAACAGAATATTTTGGTGTTCCCATTTTTTTTGTGTGTAGTATATATTGTTTCAGTGTGTCTGCACATTTATATGATCTCCTTTATCTATCGTCAAGATCAACTATCCCTACCATCTCTGCTTGCCCCTTTTACCGTCCGCCCTTCGTCTCACATGCGGTAGTCGTCACTAGTCCCCGCCCTTGAAGTGTGTAATAAACAAAGGCCAGATCTCCCTATCGTGGACAGTGGAGCCACGCGCAGTAACATGGACATGCCAGGATGAATGGGACCATTTCTTGTAAATCAATTGCAAATATAATGGACAATAGGAACCAAATGTGGAGCTCGAAACAAGGACGATAGAATATTCTATATAATACAATTTCAGAATGCATTTTGAAATCTTGGTGTTCTGATTTTAGCAAAATGTATCATATATGTATTATGAAAAGAAGAGTAGATGTATTGATCTATAAGTGTCCATATTTTTTTAATTTGAAAATGCCCATCACTCTCGGATAGGGTATAATTGGAATTACAATCGAACAATGTTCTAGACAATTAAAAAAAAATATACGTTAGCGACACAGAAGTCCGAGTAAAAAAACATTCGCACATGAGTATATTTATCTTAATAGCTCTTAATTCATACGTTTGTTTTACTTCAGGTTGTTATTTGTTCATCTTTGCCTTTTTAGAATAATATTAGAAGCAGGGAAATTGTTACCACGTGTTAGAACATGCTCTACGAACTGGTGCCCAGTTTCCGTCTATGTACAGACGTTGTGATCAGTGACTTATGTGAAATTAAGTCACTGTGTGTGTAATATAATGCTGTGTGATCAATATACCTGCTGTTGCATCTTAAACCTGCCTCGTAATATTTGCATCTATTTGTCAGACAGCTTTTGCCACGTCCTACACCACTGCACATAAACCCACTTTGCACTTAGGTGTACCTAGTTCTTATCAAACATTCCGGGGTAGAATAGGTCTTCAGCAACCCATGCTTGCCGTAAAAGGTGACTATGCTTGTCGTAAAAGGCGACTAACGGGATCGCGTGGTCAGGCTCGCTGACTTGGTTGATGCATGTAATCGATCCCAATTGCGTATAGCTGGAATATTGCTGAGTGCGGCGTTAAACAACAAACCAAACAAAAAGACCAATTATGTGGATCGATGCTCATGATATTAATCACTGGATTGTCTGGTCCAGACTCGATTATTTACAGACCGCCGCCATATAGCTGGAATATTGCTGAGTGCGGCGTTAAACAACAAACCAAACAAAAAGACCAATTATGTGGATCGATGCTCATGATATTAATCACTGGATTGTCTGGTCAAGACTCGATTATTTACAGACCGCCGCCATATAGCTGGAATATTGCTGAGTGAAGCGTTAAACAACAAACCAACCAATCATATCAAATAATCTGCACAGAAGCCAGTCTCATTTTTCAGGCAATGTCACATCACACAGACCAGTTTGCATCACGTTGTGTAAACATTTTGACAATATATTTTGACCGGTAACCAGTCAAATTGCTCAGTATGTTTGACGAAGAAAAGTATTGTACAATGTTACTTACCTCCGTTTTAAAACTGTATACATCACGGTGTTATGCTCAGATATATTTCCTAAATTGTTTTTAAATATTACTGTCCATAAATTGCCCAATTGTAAATAAATTAACTTGGTCTAGTCGCTATATGGCTGAAACAGTAAGAGGTGACTAACGGGATCGGGTGGTCAGGCTCGCTGACTTGGTTGATGCATGTCATTGATCCCAATTGCATGGATCGATGCTCATGATATCGATCACTGGATTGTCTGGTCCAGATGCGACGTTAAATTTTAACTCCCTCACTCACTACTTACCTCCGCCGTTTCGCATACATAAATACGGGAACTTGATGAGTGAACCAGAGCCAATACTGCCACCGAGGAGGGTGATGAGGTAGTCCAAGTGGTGACGCCAACGTTCAGGTGCCATAGCTGGAACGAGATAAAAACGCTACTGTTGAATTCCACTATACTAACGCAAATAGACGACGCGTTTACCGCTGTTGCTGCATCAGCGAGCCAGCGTGATACAGAGGTAGTAATGGAATAAATAAAGGCAACAGATAGACGTTAAATATCACTGCTAGGATATATAAATATATAAATCATAAAAGTGCATGGACCCATATAGACATGACATTATTAAGTGACTTTATTACCATGAAACAAATGTAGAACCCAGTGCCCTCTGAGGTTATATTTATGAATCGTTGTCAAATGCATTGTACAAAAATGTGTTTGGATCCTCATTGAAAACCAATTTCTTAATTATTTGTACATTAACCCAGAAAATGGAATGAAGAGAAAGCAAGATACCATCAAATGTAGATTTTATTTGGGGTTGTGTCCAAGGTATTTATCAGACATTGTGCTTGAAATGATAATGCCCAGGGTTATTTGAATTTCTTTTGGCGGGAACCGGGATAACAAGAAGCACGTCCGTCTACATTAACTTCTCTATTGCAAGATAAGCTTAAGGTTCAAAAATATATATTCTTTGAGATTCCAACAACCATGTGTTTAGCATGTGGCCGCCATCTTGACTGTTGTTTTCATGACTACCATTGTATACACTTAGCTTCAATGATCTGGACAATGTCGTCAGACAAAACTATCCTGTTTTAAAAAAACCTCTTCAACTGTTCTCGTTCGTTTTGGCAGCCAGAAATTATTTTGTAAACGTATGATGTCACATTCGGAAACGTCAAGTAACTTCATCATGTTGAACCGTTCAAGGTCGAATCCTCGGATATTCGCTCTTAGGAAGAATTAACTCTAATCTATAACTATTTCATCGCCGCTTTTAGCAATATCACGGCGGGGGACACCAGAAATGGGCTTCACACATTGCAACCATGTCGGGAATCGAACCCGGGTCGTCGGCGTGACGAGCGAACGCTTTAACCACTAGGCTACCCGACCGCCACGGGATGCTTTGGAAAGATCACGTGAGGCAATTTTAACTTCAGTCATCATCTTTTGGTAATTCCAAACCAATTGTTATTATTCACCAGATGGTTCGTTGTCAGCACTTAATATGTGAATATGTAAATGGTAATGTAGGGAATAACAAACTTCAGGAGATTATGCCACATGAAATGGTAATGTGGATACACGACAGCTGTGAATCCTGAATATCATGTGCAGCTGAGCACATAAACCTTAATCGAATCATTTACAATATTGAGCCATTCCTGAGGTCTACATACTTGTAGTTGTTTGGGTTGTTAGAACTGGCTTCCTCTCACTCCAAACTTTGGTTTTCAGGTTTGGGAGGAATTCTTGAATGACAACGTCCTTGTCATATCCAGGATGGTTGCGTACATCACGATAAGTTGTGATAAAGCTGTTTGAAGTGTTGATTGTGGCTGGACAGTCTTTTCGACAGCAACGCCAATATACACTCGTGTTTCTTTTGTTCTTGGTTTCTAAATCTATATCTATTATTACTACATTCTGCCCATCCTGGGAGTAAGCAACAAACTAAATACTTACATGATCATTTGCCAATGATTATGTGATCCGTACAAAAATCATTACACATTACACTTACTAAGCAGCATATGAATTTCCTTGTAAATATGTATATGAATAAACAAATGCTTGTTTTTAAATTTGGTGTGATGCTATCATCAAATGACGACCCGTGAAGATCCGGGGTAAAAAAGATCTTCAGCAACCCAAATTGCGTGGATCGATGCTCATGATATTAATCACTGGATTGTCTGGTCCAGACTCGATTATTTACAGTCCGCCGTCATATAGCTGGAATATTGCTGAGTGCGGTGTTAAACAACCAACCAACCAACCAGTCATCAACTGACATTAATGAAGTCTCGGTCCAGGGGGTTAAAGTATCGTAAAATTATTGTCCCCCTTTGTGACACGTAATCCTCACATAATCGATGTCACTATCATCAACCAGTGTTTTTAAGCCATCTCATTACTGTGTATTGTTTTGATATTGGCTTATATTGTGCACAACCACCAGTAGCTAAAGTGATGACGTAAATCCTGCTGGAGTATCATGCAGGAAGCAGAGGTACTGTAAGTTCCAATGATCCCCAGCGAGGTGGCCTAGCTTTGGTTACTGGTGCCCTTTATATAGCCAGTGTTTTAAAGCTGCATATTTCATATTGTCATGCTCAAATATGTTTCATAAATTGTTTCTAAATATATGCTCAAATATCTTTCACAACTTGTTTTCAAATTAAACTTTGCATAAAAATCAAAATTGTAAATATATTAACTTGGTCTCGTCGCTTTATGGCTGTAATAATGCCGATGCGACGTTAAAGTTTAACTCACTCACTCACTCACCCGTGTTGTTTCAGGAGATCAATTGAAATACTTTTCCATGTGTTTGTGATAAGTTCCGCCGTCATATACATGTAGCTAGAATATTGCTGAGAGCGGCGTTAAACGAAAACAAACAAAACGTGCACGTGATACATTCAACCTGCTAGTTTATGAAGCAATAGATCTCAGTATCAGATGTCTTATTGCGGCGAACACTGCTTGTTTCATTTATTCATTTTTTAAACATGGCGGAAAATCGTATGGATTAGGAACAAGTGACACACTTAGGAGACCTTCTGTATACTTCTATATGCATTTCATCTCCATCTAATTCATTCAAAACTTCAGAAATATCAAAAACAACGAGAGGAAAAAGTGAATTTTAATTCTGACAATGGCTGAGATTATTATAAAGTAGTTGTACTACATGAGCTACACACTGCCTTGGCTCAAGTTCATGATACTTCAACAGGAGTTGATGAAATCAATTATCAGCACTTAAAACACTTGCCTGAATCTTGTTTCCAAACACCACAAAATATTTTTATGATATCTGGATAACGGGACATTTTCCTTCAAAAGCCTGACAGGGACCATACAGATAGCTAATCTTTAGTTTGGTGTTTAGAAACCAACAATCTAATCAAATAAAACCAATGCGGCTTCCGTAAAAAACGAAGTTTAATTAACCATTTGGTTGGTTTAGAATCATTCATTACAAATGCTATTGTCAACAGACAACAAGCTGTATGTATCGTTTTCAATCTCGAAAAGGCTAATTTAATATCGGTTTTTATCTGACAATTTCAGGTTCGTGTTGGACTCACCCTGTCCGATCATTATAATCAGGATTAGGGGGTTTCACAAGGCAGTATTTTTTCTGTCGCATTGTACGCTTTACGCTATTGCTCAGGGCCGGTAGTTAGTATTTGTTTTTTCATACCCGTTCTGCGGTTGTTCCAAAACTATTCGCCCACCTTGTATATTATAGAATGGCCCGCATTAAAAGAAAACAAGAGTTTGCCACTAACGTGGCTATATCACCCGCCCCTGTTGCAGAATTTATGACATAATTAAATCTAAACAAACCCTAACCTTTTTTAACCGAGGTGGAACTTGTCATGGAAATTGTAAAAAAAAGAAGAGTTTGGAACCTAAGTCCATCTTGCTGCCATGGAAACGTAAAAAAATTATATTTCTAAAATTTCTAAATAGCAAAAGGCACCAGTTCAGCATATACCTGACAAACCTGCAAAGTTTGATGAAAAGATATTGAACGGTTTATGAGTTATGCTCCGGAAACGAACCCTACCCTCGCAGAACCTAAGTCCATCTTGTTGCCATGGAAACGTAACAAATAAAAAATTATAAAATTTCTAAATAGCAAAAGGCACCAGTTCAGCATGTACCTGACAGACCTGCAAAGTTTGATAAAAAAATAAAGAACGGTTTATGAGTTATGCTCCAGAAACGAAACGTGACGGACGGAGCCCGTTTCTATATCTCCCGCCAACTTTGTTGGATGGGGGATAATAATATAATATTATTCATGTTGGGTTGTTTTTTTTAATAGACTTTGATAGGCTGTTTTAACTTAAAAGCGTATCTTAAATAATGTAATATATCCATGGACAGTTGTTCATACAATGTATGTAGTTTTTTATCCAGTCATTGTTCATTTTGTGTTGTGTTTACATATACTGAGGATGTATTGCATCCTATGTTTGTGCGTTTGTTGTTTATAGACGGCACAGATGAACATTTGATGACCAATTTTGGTTAATTATCCTCTTTAAAGTTAATTATTTTTTTAATTTTAAACCATATATATTTAAACCTACGGGTCTGGATTTTTCGTATGTAGTAGATATTGACAGTCTTCACACATAGCAAACGCTCTGACAAAATCTGGCTCTTGAGTGACAATGATGGTAGAAAACGACTATATCTGGGCCGACAAAGTCAACAAAATAACCGAATGCAACATTCGATGCTTATACATAATGCCAATTTGCCATGTTGTGTATGCAGAACTTTTAAATATATCCTTTTTTAAAGATGACTCTCTTCATGTCCGTAGCTCTAGTGTCGTTGGAAAGGCATTCAAATGGGGTTTAATTGCATATTCCTGTGCGGCTAATTTTAGTATATTTTACGGAGTTTCAGATACAAAATATACACCAAGCGCCGTTACTATACTACAAACTATGGGCATCACACGCTGTTGGTGCATACAGATCCAAAAGAGACACGACTTTTTAAAACTAAATTTATGAAAAAAAAAGATCATAATTTAAATCCAATTTGTACACCACCAAATGATATTTGAAAGTATTTCAACAAGTAGGTTCACAAGAGAACATTGAAGAGAGATCTACCCTAAATAATGTGAAAAAGAATGTTATTGTTTGTTGCAGGCGGTTTGATGTTTTTTCAATGGTCTTAGGCATAATTATTTTTTCAAGATATTTTCGAGGACAATATTACGGAAGCCTTTTAGGGCCATGTCCAAAAAACAATTCATATCCCTATTAACTGGAAATTTCCACTTAGTATCTGGAAAATTCCACATAGTATCTGGAAATTTCCACTTACTAACTGGAAATTTCCACTTAGTATCTGGAAATTTCTACTTAAATGCTTTAAATAGAGTCAACAGCTATTTTGGAATACCTATTAA